CCCCTCCCTGCCCTTTACCTGCCCCGCCCCACCCCCCGTCCCTCAAGCAGAACCTCTCTCTGCAGTTCCCCGCGTGGTGAAGTTCACGTCTGGACTGAGCGCAATTGTGGCGGAGGAGGGTCGGGAGGCCACCTTCCAGTGCGTGGTGTCTCCCAGCGATGCTGCGGTCACGTGGTACCGGGAGAGCACCCTGGTGCAGCCCAGCGAGAAGTTTCTTATATCACAGAGGGGCGCTAACCATAGCCTGACCATCTCTGGCCTGACCCTGGAGGACTCGGGCCAGATCACTGCGGAGGCCGAGGGTGTGACCTCCGTGGCAGCCCTCAGGGTCCGAGGTGAGAGGTGTGGGCCTCAGGACCTGGCAGCAGCTGGGCAGCTGCTCCTCTGGCTGCACGTGTCTGCCACGTGGGCCAATTCGGAAGTGGCCTCAGTGCAGGGACCTGTGTCCGGCTTGTCTGACTGGCCTCAGGGGAGATGAACAGAGTTGTCGGCTGGGAGGGAGGATCCGGTGGGGCCGGCCACCTTCTCTGTAGGGGAGAAGGTAAATCCTGCCCATGCACCTGGGGGAGGCATCTGTGGAGGCTGAGCCTCCAGAGAGGCTTCCCGGAGGAGGCAGGCCACACTGAGTAGATGGATGGGGAGGCTGGAGGGAGCAGAGTCAGCAGTTTTAGTGAATGTCTGGCCAGCAGGCGGGAATGAGTTCAGCGTGCATGGGAGGCAGCAAGGGCTGGGCCTGGCTGAGAGCAGGGATGTGGAGGAAGAGCAGAAAGGAGGAGGGCAGGTCACCCCAGATGGGGGGGGGGTTCATTGGAGGCTGTTGAGTAAGAGTGATGTGAGCAGGTGGGAGGCCCATGAGTCCCTGGGAGCTTGTTAAAACCAGGGCTTTGAACTGGTTTGTTCTGGTTCAAAGCTTTGCTGAGGGTGTGCGTTTCTAACAAGTTCCCAGGGTGTTAGAGGTGGGAATCACCTGGAGGATCTTGTTGAACTGTAGATTCTGATTCAGTATATCCGGAGTGGAAGTGCAAATTCTCAGCAGGGGTTCGATCCAGAAGGAACTGGTTCTAAGGCCTGGTGAAAACACAGATGGGGATGCAGCCGTCTGGATGGGCCTGAGGGCCTGCCTGTGTGATGCCCTGCAGGCGCTGGGGGAGGGAGCCACTGTTCAGGGCAGGGCAGCGGGAGGTGGAGAGGGGCTGAGGAGGAGCAGCCTTCAGGCCTGAGTTTTCTCCTACAGAGTTCGGGTGTGGGCTGTGTCCTGAGTGTGGCCAAGGCCGGGCTGTGCTTGTCAGCCATGCCCAGCCTGGAGAAGGACTGTGGGTGGCTGGAGAGGGGCCTGAGCTGGTCCGCTGTGCCCTGGCTGTCCTGAGCAGGGGATGACTGCGGTGACTCTCCCCCCCACCCCTGCTATTAACCCCAGAGGCCCCTGTGCTGTTCGTAAAGAAGCTGGAGCCGCAGACGGCGGAGGAACGGAGCTCAGTGACGATGGAGGTGGAGTTGTCGCGGCCATGGCCGGCTGTCAAGTGGACGCGGAACGCGGCTGCCCTGGTACCTGGTGAGAACGTGCAGATCCACGCTGAGGGCACTCGCCACTGCCTGGTCCTGCACAATGTTGGCTTCTCCGACCGCGGCTTCTTTGGCTGTGAGACACCCAATGACAAGACACAGGCCAAGCTCAATGTGGAGAGTGAGTGTGGCAGGACAGGTGGGGGTGGGGGCGGGGGGTGGCACAGGAGTAGGGGCTTGGGTGCAGGGGGCAGGTGGAGGGGACCGGCCGGTGTCGGGGGAGCAGGAAACGGGTGGGTGGGGGACAGTTGCATGGACGGGGCCAGCGTGGGGCAGCCTGGTTCTGCACCGAGACCTTAGGGAGGTGGACCTCAGGGACCAGCCTCTGAACCCCAGTCAAGGCACCCCACTGGGCTCTGCACAGCTCCAGGAGGCCGGGCTGGCCCACCAGGCCTGAGTGTCGCTCGTCCTGGCCAGGAGGGCGGGTGTGTGCAGCGGCTCCACCCTGCCCCTGCATGTGCTGTCCCCTCAGTGCGCCAGGTCCGCCTTGTGCGTGGCCTGCAGACGGTGGAGGCCCAGGAGCAGAGCAAGGCAGCCCTGAAGGTGGAGCTGTCACATGCAGATGTGGAGGGCACCTGGACTCGAGATGGGCTTCGGCTCCAGCCGGGGCCCTCGTGCAGCCTGGCTGTGAGCGGCCCCATCCACACGCTCATGCTCTCTGGGCTGCGGCCGGAAGACAGCGGCCTCATCGCCTTTAGGGCCGAGGGTGTGCACACATCAGCGAGGCTCCTTGTCACTGGTGCGTGGTCCTGGGGTCTTCCCACATGGGAGGAGCTGGGGGCCAGTGATGGCAGGGCCTGCACCTCCTGTTTGGGAGCTCCTTCTTGGAGCCAGCTCTGCAGCTCTGCCCAGCTCAGGGCCACCCCCTTCTACCTCCCCAGAGCTGCCTGTGAGGTTCAGCCACCCGCTGCAGGATGTGGTGGCCACGGAGAAGGAGAAGGTGATCCTGGAGTGTGAGCTGTCACGTCCCAACGTCGATGTGCGCTGGCTGAAGGTACCTGCCGCCCACCCAGGACCCCTGTCCCTGCATGGCAGCCCGACCCTGGGGCCTGACCGGATCTGTCCCTCCACAGGATGGTGTGGAGCTGCAGGCGGGCAAGAGGGTGGGCATCACGGCCCAGGGAGCCTGTAGGAGCCTCATCATCTTCCGCTGTGAGCCTGGGGACCAGGGCATCTACGTGTGTGATGCCCACGATGCTCAGAGCTCTGCCTCCCTGAAGGTGCAAGGTGAGGACCGGCGCAAGGCGAGGGCGGGTGCAAGGTGAGGGCGGGGCTGAGGGAGGACGGTGCTGGGCTTCTCTGGCTGTGCTTCCTGTCCCACCTCTCCCTGTAGACCTCAGCCAGCTGGGGGGTGGAGGGGCCAGGGAGTGGGAGGCCGGGGAGCTGGGGAGCGGGCCCCCCACGCCCTTGTGTGGCAGGGCCTTACTTGCTGCCCCAGGTCGTGACATCCAGATTGTGAGGCCCCTGGAGGATGTGGAGGTGATGGAGAAGGAGGGCGCCACCTTCTCCTGCGAGGTCTCCCATGAAGAGGTGCCCGCCCAGTGGTTCCAGGAGGGCATTAAGCTGCGGCCCAGTGACAACGTGCGGATCCGCCAGCAAGGTACGCCGGAGGGCAGGCTTGAGCGGGTGGGCTGCCTGGGCCCCTCTTCACCGCCCCACGCCCCGCCCCGGCATGGCCCACAGGGAGGGGCTGTCCCCATTGCACCCTCACCCGTGCCCCCGCCCGGTGTCGTGTGCCTCTCATCCATAGGAAGAACATACACTCTGATCTTCCGGAGAGTCCTGGCGGAACATGCGGGTGAAATCAGACTTGTGGCCGGAAACGCAGAGTCGCGAGCCCAGCTCCGTGTGAAAGGTGAGGGGCAGCCGAAGGGATGGCGGGGGCATGACAGCGTGTGTGTGCCTGTGCATCGTGTCTGTGCATGTGTACGCATGCGCGTATGTAGGCACACGTGTGCAGGACCTCACAGGCGTTGATGGTGTGTGTGCACGTGTGTGCCTGTGTGAAGCGTGTACGTGGTGTGTGTGTGCGTGGTGTGTACACATGCACATAGACACGTGTGAACATGTGCGGAGGGCCTCATGGGGGCTGATGGTGCATACGTAAGTGTGTGCTCGTGTCTCTGTGTGCATTGTGGGCATGTGTGAGTGTGTGCATGGTGTGCCTGTGTGCTTGGTGTATGCAGGTGTGTGTATCTGTATATGTAGTACGTGTGTGCATATGTGTGCATGGTGTATGCATGTGTGTGTGAACACGTGTGCGCAGCCCCCCGTGGGGTCTGATGGTGGGTGTGTGTGGTGTGGGTGTGGGTGGCCTGTGTGCATGTATGAGTGTGTATCTGTGTATGTATTGTGTACGTGTGTGCATAGCGTGCATGCATGCGTGTCTGCGCGTGGGTGTGGCCCTGTGTGCATGTGTGTGTATCTGTACGTATGGTGTATGTGTGCACATAGTGTGTATGTATGTGCACGGTGTGTGCGTATGTGTGTGAACGTGTGTGTGCAGGCCCCCGTAGGGGCTGATGGGTATATGTATATCCGTGGTGTGTGTGTGTGTGTGGATAGCCTGTGTGTGCACACAAGATGTGTTTGTGCCCATGTAGGTGTGTGAACACAGGCACGTGCAGACCCTCATAGGAAGGGTGCCTGCGACAGGAAGACGAGGAGGGCCGCCCTGTGGGTGGGAGGATATGGGGTCTCCCCCTGGTTTAGTGTGGAAGGACCCGTGAGCCCTCCGGGGGCCTCTGAGAACAGGAGAGCAGCAGCACTGGGGCAGGCTGGGGCCGGCAGGTGCAGCTGTGGGCGAGGGAGGAGGGTCTGCTGATGAAGGGCGGGCAGGAACGCGGGGTGCGGATCAGCCTCTCACCGGCCCGTGGGGGGGGTGGGCGCACTGACCACCAGCCTTGACCCGCTCGGCCACGCCCGCAGAGCTGCCTGTCTCCATTCTGCGCCCGCTGAGGGACAAGATCGCTATGGAGCGGCGTCGGGGCGTGCTGGAGTGCCAGGTGTCGCGGGCCAGTGCCGAGGTGCGCTGGTTCAAGGGCAGCATGGAGCTGGAGCCCGGGCCCAAGCATGAGATGGTCAGTGATGGGCTGTACCGCAAGCTGATCATCACCAACGTCCAGCCAGAGGACGAGGACACCTACACGTGTGATGCCGGCGACGTCAGGACCACCGCCCAGTTCTTTGTGGAAGGTGTGGGGCTGGGCTGGGCAGGAGCTAGACTGTGGTGGTTGCTTCTTGTGCTGGCGTTTCTGAACCCACCCGCAGAGGGGTGATGAGTGTCTTGGCAGCCGGTGGGGACGGGTGTGTGTGGGGGTTCGCTCCTGGGACAGAGCCCTGGAGGAGAAGGCGGGCTGAGCTCCGCGGGCCCTGGCTGGGTGTGTGTGGGGGTTCGCT